AATGCTTTTCTGTGATGAGAGTTGGTAACTAACTCTCATAGAAACTATGGGTGTGCAGTGAGTTGAGATTCCTAGCTCCTCTTGGGTGGTGGGGGCCTTATCAGACTCTGTCCAGTGATGTTCCTCTTTTCTGTATTTTAGTAATATCAGTTTTCCTGATTGGATTTATCATATCCCAAATTTTATTTTTCTCTCTTTCTATTTCTGATAATTAAAATGTTTTTTCTGGTTATCTTAGCCCTTCTGTATCATATTTTTGTTTTTAATTATGAATATGCCTTTGTTTTCGTTACTTTATTGTAAAATTTGATAATATTTAGACTCATTTAAATCTTTTTTCATCTTTTTTATTGCATGATTCTTTATTAAATTTATTGGTACATTTTAGGTATACAATACAGTTACATTAATTATTGGGATCTTGTACCTTTACAATTTTTGGTACTTTAGGTATACAATACAGTTACATTAATTATTGGGATCTTGTACCTTTACATGACTTATGTTGGTTCTTATTTTTTCCCCATCCCCCAGCCCTCCCTTCACCCCCTCCACCCTTCCCTGTTTACAAAGATACTGTTACCGTGCTTTTCCTTTTCTCACATTTTTTCTATTCCCTTTTTATCTTTCCCCTACCCCTCCCACTTCTACTCTTTTAGACCTTTTTGTCCTATTACACAATATCAATTATACATTCTGATCCTTACTTACACTTTTAGTTTTTCACACCAGAGAAACTTTGGAATTTACACGTGTGTCTTATTAATTTCACTTTAAGAGTATGTCCTCAATGTGCATCCACTTACTTATAAATGTCTCTAGTTTCTCATTCTTTATGGCTGAATAGTACTCCATTTTATTAAGAAAAAAAAAAACCTACATCTTCTTTTTCCAGTCTCTAGTTGATGGGCACTTGGGCTGTTTCCAAGTTTCAGCTGTTACAAACTGTGCCGCTATAAACATGGGTTAGCATATATCGCTGTGGCATTATTATTTTAATTCTTTTGGGAAGATACCCAGCAGAGGAATAGCTGGGTCAAATGGGACTTCTAATCCTAGTTGTTTGAGGTATCTCCATATTGATTTCCACAGTGGTTGACCAGTCTGCACTCCCACCAACAATGGAGAAAGGTTCCTTTCTCCCCACAACCCTGCCATCATTTTTTATTGTTTGATTTCTTACTAGCAGCTATTCTTTCTGTGGTGAGGTGGAATCTCAGTGTTGTTTTCATCTGCATCTCTCGAATGACCGGTGATGTTGAACATTTTTTCATGTGTTTATTTGATGCTTTTACTTGTTTGAAAAATGTCTGTTCATTTCAGATGCCCATTTTTGAATTAGATCTTTATATTTGGGGGGGTCTGATTTTTTTTTTTTTAGTTCTTTATATATTCTAAATAGTATTACGTTTGTCTGAGGAACAGCTGGTAAAATTTTTTTCCACATTGTGGCTTGTCTCTTTTGCTCTACTGGTAATTTCCCATATATTGCAGAAGCTTTTTTAAAAAGATGAGATCCCAGTTGTTGATTCTTTATGCTAGTTCCCGTGTTACTGAGGATTTGTTCATAATGTCTTTTCCCATGCCAGTATCTTCAAGAGTTCTACCTAACCTATCTTCTAACAGGTTTAGTGTTTCTGTTTTAATATTTGAATCTTTAATCCACTTGGATTTTAGTTTAGTGAATGGTGAAAGATACGGATCTAGTTTTAATCTTTGGCAAGTTGAAATCCAGGTTTTAATGCATTCTTGTTTGATTATACAACATAGCCAGATCCATTTGCTCTGTCCACAGAAAGCCTGAAACGAAGAACCCTTGTGTGCCTCAGCAACTTCCTTTCACACTGACCACTTCTTTTGAGCAGGAGACAGTTGTAAAGGATAGGGGGAAGGGAAAGAATACATGGCTTCTTCGTAAATTTCCAAATACTGGAAAATAAGGGCCGGGGATATAGCTCAGTGGTGCTGCCACCTGCCTTGAAAGTGAAAGGTCCTCCTCCATTTTTTCTGTCCTCATTTTGTTGTATAGATAGAGACATTGCAAAGTACACATTGCAACTACAATTCTGTGGAATTTCTGAAACAAAATGTTTTCTGTATTTCATCTCAGAGAAATGCCACTTGAAAGGTCCCCCCCGATGAGTTTCAGATTCAGCAGGTCTGTGGTGGGGCCCAAGAATTGGCATTTTCTACAATTCATGTGGTGCTGATGCTGTTGGTTCAGAACCGTGGACACATAGCTGTCATCTCTACCAAACCTCTATCTTAACGTACCTTTCTGTGCAAACTCCTTCTCTTTTAGTTCTTGTTTACTGTATTCACATCACAGTAAGTTTCAAATCCTGAAGCATTTATGAAGAATGTTCTCCTATTCCTTGGGTTATATTTTCTTCTGGAAAGGACTTTAATTTTTTGTATGCCATATTTTTTCTGTTTTTCACAAAGTCTCTTCTTCCTCCTCCTGCTTCCCTCCTTTCTCTGCTCCCCTGGTCTTTCAGTGTATTTGCCCTTTTTGTGTTGCTTATTCTTTTTCCTCTTATTCATGCTTGCTAGTTTTGCTTAGACTTTCTATTTGTTTTTATGTTGTGTGAGTGACTTCATTCCTGTTGGATTTGTTCTTTGTTCACTGTACTTGAGTGGCTGCAAAAATACAAAATTTATACTTCCTACTCATTTGTTTCTCTCTACAGTAAGTTGTGGTGACCTGCAGATCATGCTGAACTGACTTGGCACATTGAATTTTGGCTGAGTAACTGTGGTATTTTTCCTTCTTCCTATAAAAGTCCCATCTCTGATTCTTACTTCTCACACACTGTCCATCAGGGTTTGTGCCCTCTAATTTGGAAGACTTCATTGTGTTACCTACAACTTTTACCAGGAAATTAGTAGAATTATCTTGCTTTATTCATTCTCATCTACAGTATGGCAGCATTTATCAGTCACAAGAGGAAAAAATGTTGGCATTCATTTAATTTGTTCCTCTCCAGATTGGGGTATTAATGAGAATTGTTATTTCATGACTTCTTCTTTTTTTTTTTTTTTTTTTTTTTTTTTTTTTTGTAGTACTGGGATCAAACTCAGGACCTTGCACCTTCAAGGCAGGTGTGGTACCACTGAGCTAAATCCCTGGCCCAAACCCCTGCTATTCTGATAAGTAAAGTTTTGATAGGGTTTGAAGATAAGATTTTTCACTAGTATTTACTTGTTTATTTTTAAGTGCCACAAGATTTTTGTCTGGTATTTTTGTTTATTTCTCATGGTACTAGGAATGATCCCAGGGCCTTTACACTGAACTACATCCTTAGGCCTCTCGTTTTAAAAATTTTTTCTTTTGTAAGAGGGTCTTAATAAGTCACTGATTTGCCTGGAATGGGCTTGAACTTACAATTTCCTTGCCTCAGCCTCCCAGAGTGCTGGGATTCTTTTTCCATTTTATTCATAGCTATGTCCACAACACTTAGAACAATGCTTGGCATATAGTAGCCATCAATAAATATTTTTTTAATTGAGTTTATTGGTACATTCTAGGTAGACAGTACAGTTACATTCATTACTGGGATCTTGTACCTTTACATGCCAGGTCTTGGTTCTCATTTTTTCACCTTGTACCTACCCTCCCTTCACCCCCTCCTCCCCTCCCCACCTTCAAACACTTTAATTCCATTTTTACATTTTCTCATTTATTTTCCTTTTCCCTATTCCCCTTTCCCTATCCTTCTCACTGTCCCTACACCTTTGGTCCTTTTCTTCCTATTTCACATTGCTAATTTCCCCTTCAGGATCTTGAGTACTATTTTAGTTTTTCACACCAGAGAAAGTATTCGGTATTTGCATATGTGTGACTTATTTATTTCACTTAGGAGTATATCCTCAAAATGTACCCATTTACCTATGAATGAATCTACTTTCTCATTCTTTATGGGTTAGTAGTATTCCATTTTATAGAAAAACCACATCTTTATCCACTTTCCAATTGATGGGCAGATGGGCTGTTTCCAAGTTTTAGCTCTTACAAACTGTGCTGCTACAAACATGGGTGTGCCTATATCACTGTGATATGATTCTTTCAGTTCTTTTGGAAAGATACCCAACAGAGGGATGGCTGGGTCAAATGGAATCTCTAATTGTAGTTCTTTGAGGTATCTCCATATTGACTTCCATAGTGGTTGCACCAGTCTGCACTGCCACCAACAATGGAAAAGGGTTCTTTTCTCCCCACAAGCCCGCCAACATTTGTTGTTGTGTGATTTCTTGATAGCAACCATTCTTTGTAGGGTGAGGTGAAATCTCAGAGTTGTTTTCATCTGCATCTCTCAAATGACCAGTGATGTGGAGCATTTTTTCATATACTTACTTGCTTCTTTGAGAAATGTCTGTTCATTTCAGATGCCCATTTTAGAATTGGGTCTTCTATTTGGGGGCGCTGGTTGTTTTGAGTTCTTTATATATTTTAGATAATAGTCCTTTGTCTGAGGAGCAGGTGGTAAAAAGTTTTTCCCACATTGTAGGTTGTCTCTTAGTTTTGTTGATGGTTTCTTTTGCAGTACAGAAGGTTTTTAATAAGATGCAATCCCAGTTGTTGATTCTTTCTGCTAGTTCCCGTTCTACTGAGGATTTGTTCATAAAGTCCTTTCCTATGCCACAATAAATATTTTTAAATAGAAAAAATTATCTTTGGGTTCTCAGTGGTTCATCTCTTCTCTTTCTACACCATTTAAAAGTTTTTAAAAGATAAAATTCACTGTTATATAAAAGGTGAATAGTTTGCTGCTTTATGATCAAAGCCTCCCCTCACTGTCAACCCCCAGCAACCACATATCTATCCTTTATCCTTACAGTTTTTGGATTTTCAGAATGTCAAATTCAAAATGCATGATGCATTTGAGGTTCATTTATTTTGTAAGTGATAATATATTATTTTTGAGGCTAAGTAGTATTCCACTGGATCTGGAACAAATATACTAACACTCTTTTCCTGTTTTGTTGTTTTTGATGTTTAGCTTTCCCAAGTGCTGAATCTCCCACCAGAAAACCTGATCAAGTCAATATCTGCAATTCCAATTTCAAAAAAAGAGTTAAGTACGGTGTATTTGTAACAGTTAAAACGTTACTAATTTGTTGATAATTCAAAAAACTTTTAATCTTCAATTTATAAAATGGTCCTTTAAATTAACCGTAGATATTGTTCATTATTTTCTTTAATAAAATTAAATGTATCTTAGATACTCGTGACAGGTAATAGTATTGATATTAATTATTTTGATGTTTTCCTAAGCTAATAATTATATCAATCTTGGGAACAAGTTTCAAATTTAGTTATGTAGCAGTAAATAAAAGAACTAAAATGGTGATAACAACTTCAAAATCAGTTACTTATTTCCTAAAATCTGTTAATTACATTGTACATAATAAGGATATTACTGGAATTTCAGGGCAAGAGCCCCACCTCTGGGGGTTCTAACAGACCAGGCTCAGCCGTGTGTCCCATAATGCTAATCAAGATGAGCAGTGGTACCTGGTGTGGTGGTGCATGCTTATGACCCCAGTACTCACATCACTGTGAGCTCAAACTCAGCCTGGGCCACAGAGTGAGTTCAAGGTCAGGTTGAACTATACTACAAGATCCTGTCTCAAGAAACAAAACAAAATAAAATAAAAGATGAGCAGAGGTGAAGATCAGGAAAGAACTTTTAATCACCATGATCATCCTGGGAAGCACAGATAAAGAAGTTCAAGATTGTCTTTGGAGGTTTTATAGAAAGGTGAACCAAGGCAAGGATTGGAGCTTTGTAGGGTGGGTAATCCTGGTCAAGCCTTGGTCTAGTTGATTGGTATTTCAAGACTTAGGTTCTGGGAGAGCCATTGTGGCTTGAAGAGGCAATTTGGTTCCAATCTTGAGATAACAGCTTCTGCTTGAGCAGGAGCCTTGGTTTTTGTCATAAGGTAATTGCTCTGGTTTAGGGGATAACCTCTTAAAGTGGTCTGTTAGGCTGTGCTTTTTCCTGGAATCCAAAGTGACTAAGGATTTAGGACAGTGATTGGCACTTCTAGGTACCACTCCAGGGGTTCTAGAACTGAATGTTATAAAAGCTGGGCAACCTGATATTCTTATACATCCTAAAAACTACTTTAGTTACTCTTACCATGGTGTCCTTGGTCATGAAGGAGGATGGGATAAGCTGAGTAAATTTAGAATCATTGAGCTTCATAATACAAATATTCCTTAAATGATTCACATGTCTATTTGCAGAGCTGAGCAAAGATGTGATCCAAAGTTTTAAGGTAATAAAGGAGACATAGAGAATTAGTGCAGATGTACCAAGCTTTATCCTGCTTTTATTTACTATTGGGATTGTGTAAGTCCAGCCTTTAGATCTTTGTTACAGGGGGAGAATCTGAATTTTAATCTTGTTTCAAAGACATTTATTTAATAAGTTGAATTATCTCAGTCCATCTTATGAAGTCTATTTCTTTTACCTGCTGCTACTTTAGTAATCCAAAGTACTAAAACTTTGATTAATAAGAAATAAATGTCAAGCATAGCTTCAAAACTTTTCAGAGCTGCAAGTCTAAAATTCTATATATTATTAAGTTTACTCAAGCCAGACATGATGATGGATGCCTGTAATCCTAGAACCCTGGGAGGCTAAGGTAGGAGAATCACAAGTTTGAGCCTAGCCTGGGCAGTTTAGTGAAGTGGTAAGATCCTGTCTCAAAATAAGGAATAAAAAGGCTGAGGATGTAGCTCAGTGCAAAGGCCTTGGGTTCAATCCCCAGCTTTAAAAAAAAGAAAAGTTTAGTCAAATCAAAAGTAACCTCCGTGGCTTTGCCATAATAAGCCCAAGTTCCCTTGTAGTTCTAAGTTCAAGCAAAATTTTTTAAAAATATTATGTAATATGAATCAGTTTGCTCAGGTCTGCTAGTTCTCTCAATTATATTTTTAGCTATGATGATTTTCCTGTATAATATTGATTGTACTATATTAGAATTAAGAACTGTGTCATAAGCCATTAGCACTCGGGTCTGTGGATTTCACCCTAACCAATATTATAGCAATTTCTAAGAAGTAGTGGGAAAATAGCTAAAGCCTTTTAAACCTGTTTTTAATTTTTAAAAGACAAAAGATTTATATGATCTGATCTGAAGAGAAACCAGAATACTGTTTTTAATTTTTAAAGAATGAAAGAGAAAGAAGTAATTTAATAAACTCTATGGGTCTGTCACTATCATCTCTATAGGACCAGTAGTTTCATCTACACAGGAACCCTATTTCATCTCTCACATTGGAAGATTTTAATATCTGCTAGTTTTCATAACCTAGATTTTATGTCTTTTTAAAGTTTGGATTTTTTTTCTTTTTTTCCAAATTTATTTTTCTATTAAAAAAATCAAAACAGATATCTCTTTAAGGAAATTCAGGAAAATACAAAAGAATTGTATTTATCTTTTTTCAGTTGTCTTATTTTTCTTTTATTGATACATGTTTACAGTACATTGGTACATAACATATCTTAATTCCTTTTTTGGTTTTTTGTTTTGTTTGTTTGTTTGTTTGTTGGTACCAGGGATCGAACTCAGGTCCCTGCGCTTGCAAAGTAGGAGCTGGAACCACTGAGCTAAATCCCAGGCCCTCTTAATTCCTTTTTCATCCCTATCTCCTCCTTCACCTTTTCTCCATCTCTTGATCTCCTTCCCATATGAGAAGTATCTATCACCCTACTTCTTTTTGCTGTTTATGTATAATTTAGAGTTCTTGTATAAGAGAAGATTTATTTCTCTTAATATTATGGTCTCAAGATGTATCCATTTTCCTACAGACGCCTCAGGTTTACCTTTCACTGTGGCGGAGTAGTACTCCATTATGTATAAATGCCACATTTTATTTATCTATTCATCTGTTCATGGACATACAGGCTACTTCCAAGAATTAGCTATTATGAAGTGTGTTTCTGTAAACATGGGTATGCGTTTATCACTGTAATGTGATGTCTTTAACACTTCTGGGAAGACACCTACAGAGGGAGTAGCTGCATCAAATGGAATCTATAATTTTTGATTGATTGCCATAGTGGTTGTACTAATTTATATTCCTACCAATGATGTAGAAATGTTCCTGTTTTTTTCCTACAGCCTTGCTAAGATTTGTCATTAAATGATTTCTTGATGATGGCATTCATTCTGGTGTAAGATGGAATCTAGTGTTGTTTTAATTTGCATTTCTCTAATGGCCAGTGATGTCAAGCATTTCTTTGTATGCCATTTATTGGCCATTTATACTTTTGTAAAGTGTCTATCATTTCACTTGTCCATGGGGGGGCATTTTATTTTGGAGTGGTCTAATTTTTTGAGTTCTTTATATATTCTAGATCTTAGTCCTTTAGGGAGTAGCTAGCAAATTTTTCCCCCATTCTGTAAGTTATCTTTTCATTCTGTTGGTTTTCTTTTGCTGTGTAGAAGCATTCTGATTTGATATCTCACTTGTTGATTCTTAGTATTAGTGCTTGTACAATTGGTTCTGTTCATTAAGTCTTTACCTACACCCATGTCTTCAAGAGTTTTACTTATTCTGTCTTCCAGCAGGTTAAACGTTTCTGTTTTAACATTTAGTTCTTTGACTTTTAGTTTATTTCATGGTGAGAGATATGAGTCTAGATGATTTCTGCATGTGTATAGCCAGTTTTCCCCAACATCATTTATCAAAAAGGTTATGTTACCTCAGTGTATTTTTTGACCCTTTTGTCAAAGATCAAATAGTTGAATGTGCTTGGGTTTGTTCCTGCATCCTCTGTTCTGTTCCATTGATCCTCATATCTATTTTTGTGCCAATATTATGCTCTTTTTATCACTCTAGCTTTGTAATGTAACTTCAAGCCCAGGATTGTGATACCTCCTGCTTTGCTCTTGTCACTCAGGATTGTTTTTGCTATTCTGGGTTCTGGTTCAGTATGAATTTAGATTGTTTTCTCCAGTTCTGTGAGGTAGGCCATTGGTATTTTTTGTTTTCTCATTGAGTTTATTGGTACATTTTAGATATACAGTACAGTTGCATTCATCATTGGGATCTTATACCTTTACATGACAGGTCTTGGTTCTCATTTTTTCTCCTTACCCCTGCCCTCCCTTCACCCGCTCCTCCCTTCCCTATTTTCAAATACTGTTTCCATTTTTTCATTTTCTCATATTTTTTCTTTTCCCTTATTTCCTTTCCCCTACCCTTCCCACTTCCCCTACATCTTTAGCACTTTTCTTCCTATTTCACATTGTCACTTATACCATTAGTGTCATGTACATTTATAGTTTTTCACACCAGAGAAACTATTTGCTATTTACACATGTGACTTATTTATTTCACTTAAGAGTATATCCTCAATATGCATCCATTTTCCTATGAATGACTCTGATTTCTCATTCTTTATGGCTGAGTAGTATTCCATTTTATAGAAAAACCACATCTTTATCCAGTCTCCAGCTGATGGGCAAATGGGCTGTTTCCAAGTTTTAGCTATTATAAACTGTGCCACTATAAACATAGGTGTTCATTTATCACTATGATATGATTCTTTTAATTCTTTTGGAAAGTTACACAGTAGAGGGATGTGCTGTTGGTATATTGATTGGGATTACATTAAATCTGTATATCAACTTTAGAAGTATGGTTATTTTGACTATTTTGGCTCTGTCTGTCCAGGAACAGGGCCTATCTTTCCATTTTCTGATGTCTTCTTTGTTCTCTTTTTCTCAGCATACTGTGGTTTTTGTTGAAGAGGTTTTTTTGCTTCTTTAGTTAAATTAGTTCCTAAGTGTTTAATTTTTCTTGATGCAATTGTGAATTGTTACTATACAGGAGGCTGTTGATTTTTTTGTGTTGGTTTTGTATCCTACAACATTACTGAATTTGGTTATTCTGAGTCTTGGTGGATTTTTTAAAAATCTTATGTAAAGGATCATTTTATCTACAAAAAATAATAATTTGACTTCTTTCTTTCCTATACATATTCTCTCTTTTTCTTCCCAAATTGCTCTTGCTAATGTTTTTGCTAACATTGAACAAAGTAATTTAAAAAGAAAGATGTG